CACACACACACACACACACTCTCTCACACTCTCACTCTCTCGCTCTCTCACACACACACACACACACACAAACACTCTCACCCTCTCTCACACACACACACACACACAACACACACACCAAGTCCATCTCACCTGCTTGCGTAGTTTAGGTGCTCGTGAGAGTTTGAGAAACGTCAGATGAGGTTTGAATGCTTTGTCATCTCCAGACGCGATGCCTTGCTCCTCAAACGCCTTCCTCACGCTCTCTGGGTGGAGAGAAACAACACTCAGCCTCAGATAGACAGATGCATCCTGGGATAGTCTATTTACAGCCTCCGCGGCCGGGCCTGAGACTAGTCCACTGTCCTCAATGTAAGACAAGAACATAATCAATACAGAGAGAGAGAGCGAGAGCGAGAGAGAGTTAGCGGTGATGACACTAGCAGCCCGAGCTCTCAGGATCTCTCTGCATCTGAACCTTCAACACGTTTCAGTGGGATTTTCAGTAAGGATCCAAAACACTGTGCTCATGTAATTATCAGCCAGTATTGGAGCTTTTTACTGTCATATCAATCTGATCACACCAATACTGGAAGCACTGGAAATCTAAATTCAGTTTGATTCATTAGATTTATTTTGGCAAATGATGATTATGTTTTGAAAGCTGCAGACAGCTGTAACAATCACAGCCAGTGCTGGGGTAACGCATTACAAGTAACACGAGTTACGTACTCAGATTACTGCATTCAAGTAACTAGTAAAGTAGTGCATTACTTTTCAATTTACAGTGACGTATCTGAGTTACTTTTTCATGTAAGTAATGCAAGTTACAGAGGTTCTTTCTTCAGCCTGAGGCTTATTCACGTTACTTTCGTGTGAAAGGGCCTTTACCGTCGCTAAAAATATAACCTTTGGGTTTTTAAAAAACAAATAAGAAAGCCCAGCCCAGCTGACAAAAAGTAACTCAAAAGTAATGTAATGCATTACTTTCTATAAAAAGTAACTAGGTAATGCAATTAGTTACTTTTTTATGGAGTAACACAATATTGTAGTAACTTTCCCTGATCACAGCAGAAGCAGATTACAGGGTTGGTTTGCACCAGCCATTCAGAAGTTAACTTACACTGGAACGTAACGTCCACACTAGAGGCTTAGTTACTACTAGTTAGTTTGCACTTAACATAGCTGCACCATCAGTTCTTAAGGCAGAGCGTCTCTCGCAGCTCCTAAGCTCTCTGTACAATAATGCTCAGTCACATTATATGCTGTGAATTGTTTTTCCTGCAAAGTTTGATACTAACTCCTTTTGTCTCACGTAAGTAAATTTAACTAACGGTAAACTAACATAACTAACAGTAAACAGTAAGTTTCCACTGAAATATGATACTGACATGAAATTAAAAAGGAGCTATAAATACTGATACAAAAAACATGACTGATTTTATTGACATGCACAGCATGGAGCGGCGCACACTGTAATGTTAAATGAGTGTAAACGTCATCATCATCATATATAGGTCTGAAGGACTGAAGTATGTCAGGTACAACAAGAGCTTATTGATGCAATTCAATCAATCTGCTATTTTATGCTACAACCCCGATTCCAGAAGAGTTGGGACGTTTTGTGAAATAACATAAAATCAAGAATATGTTATTTGATCATTCTCTTCAACCTTTATTTAAAGGGCCCCTATTATGCAAATTTCACTTTTACATGGTGATTTGGACAAAAATGTGTGTCGGCAGTGTGTGAACACAACCACCCTATAATGATAAAAATATATGTTTTTAATACCCATAAATCACAAGCAGCATCTCAGAACAAGCCGTTCACAGATTCTGTACAAAGAGATGTCACATTGTACAGGCCCCGCCCACGACTGTTGACGGACACCGCCGTATTAGCAGAGACCTAATTTGGGGGACTGTCAGTTTGGCTGACCAATGGCAGACTGGCACATCTGAAGCATGCACACAGATGAGTGGATGAGCAATGTTGTACCTGCCATGAGCGTGAGTGTGGTCAGATGCTCTCCTTCCGTGATCTGAACGAAAGCCACTTCCTGTTTAAAGTGTCCGATTCCACAGAAGGGCAGGACCAGCCTCCGGCCCCCCAGCAGTGCATTCAGAGGAGACGCCAGCTCTGACAATGTAGACGCAGCGCTGCGCACACAAACACAGCAAACATTCACAAGTCCTGCACGCTTCTGCTGTTAATCCTCCTGTTCCAGTTCATTACAACGACAGCGAAGGCATGCCATAATAACTGCAGTGGTGTGAGATGAGGGCGCATGCAGCTCTGACAGATCTCACATCTGTTTTTGGCCTCTGAAGACAATAAAACAGCATAGATTTGGATGGCTTGTTGCTTTACAGAGAAGCTGATGCTTTAAGGTTGTTTTAACTGGGGTTCAAGTATGCTCTGCTCAAGATCTGCATTTAGTGTAATTCAAGAACAAAGATTGACCACACAAAACTATTATTATAAACTATTTCTTTTACTGAAGTGAATCAACATTGAAGTGACTCGAGCTGAAATTAGCTTTCCCAGTAAGAGCCTATATTTGCCCTTTGGAATTGATTTCAGGGACATTTTTGACCTTTTAAGGGCAATTTTAATAATTACACTATCATTAAATGTTTCCGTGTTGTTTTTTTTAAAGGGGTCATATGATGCTATTTTAAAGATCATTATTTTGTGTATTTGGTGTAACAGAATACGTTGACATGCTTTAATGTTCAAAAAACACATTATTTTTCAAATACTGTACATTATTGTAGGTCCTCTATGCCCCGCCTCTCTCAAACGCTTCGTTTTCTACAAAGTCCCTCCTTCCGACAAGCGCAGTCTGCTCTGATTGGCCAGCTGACCCAGTGCATTGTGATTGGCCGAACACCACAAGCACTCGTCGGAAATGTAACGCCCCTTACCATAATCAC